CACAATTATTTACATCACTGTATTCTCGTCCTCCATCAGCTTTTCCTAACAGGGACACCAAAGTGGTCACGGTGGTTGCAAAAGGGTTGAACAAGAGATTTAAAGCGCCTGCGAGCTTCGTAGCTGTTCCGTCGAAAAGCATGCTTGCGTCACCGGAGCGAGAGGCCAATAAAATTCCAGGCCGAGTACCGTAAGAAAGAGACCGGGCAGGTGTGGGTGAGGGGCGCGAAGGGAACCGAAGGGCGTCGAAGGGAGTCGCCTGGAGAGGCACAGGAGGGAGTTGGAGGTCCTTAAGAGGAGACGGGGTTGTTAGCCGACGGCTTCGGACGTCGTCGTCGCCGTGGCGGCCCACGCGTCAGACCTCCCGCGAGGTTCTCAACGTTGTTTACATAAATCATCGGAAACGGTCTGGTTCGGCGCGGCACGCCGGTTCCACCAGAGCAACCAGTGCTTTTATCTGTCTGTCTCCGTCTCGCTATTTCTTTAAATCTCTCTCCTCTGGTCTTCTCTCTCTCTCTCTATTTCTCCGTCTCTCCTTATTTCTTTCTCCGTTTATTTCTTTCTCTGCTTATTTCTTTCACTCTCTATTTATCCGTCTCTCCTTACTTCTTTCTCTGTTTATTTCTTTCACTCTCTGTTTATCTGTCTCTCCTTATTTCTTTCTCTCTTTATTTCTTTCACTCTCTATTTCTCTCTCTATCTCTGTCACTCTATTTCTCTCTCCCTACCCTCTCTCTTAATTTTTCCCTTTCTCTATTTCTCTCTGCCTCTCTCTCTCTCTCCCTCTTAATTTCTCTCTCTCTCTATTTCTCTTTCTAAATTTCTCTCTCCCTATCTTTCTCTCTTAATTTCTCTCTCTCTCTCCTCTTAATTTCTCTCTCTCTCTTTCTATTTCTCTTTCTAAATTTCCCTCTCCCTATCTTTCTCTCTTAATTTCTCTCTCTCTATCTCTCTCTATCTCTATTTCTGTCTTCCTCTCCCTTTCTCTAAATTTCCCTCTCCCTATCTTTCTCTCTTAATTTCTCTCTCTCTATCTCTCTCTATCTCTATTTCTGTCTTCCTCTCCCTTTCTCTTAATTTCTCTCTCTCTCTCTCTCTCTCTCTCTCTCTCTCTCTCTGTGTGTGTGTGTGTGTGTGTGTGTGTGTGTGTGTGTGTGTACATATCCCTCTGCATCTCCCTCTCAATGTCTCTCTTTCTATCTCTTCCTCTCTATTTGTCTCTCCCTATCTCCCTATCTCTCTCTCTCTCTCTCTCTCTCTCTCTCTCTCTCTCTCGGCCGGCATCTCCGACCGTCCTACCGTCCTTCAGCCGATCCAACGACCCCGCCTCGAATAAACTCGACTGACTGCGAATAAAGCGCGCCGACGCTTCGCATGCACTGTTAAGGGTGGAACCCGGTTTCCAAACTTGAAATTTTCGATTTCTTTTGTTTGTTCGCATAAATCGATAATAGGCTAAGAGTGTATCAATTACTGTGCTCTCCCCCCTGATTACTGTGCCCCCACAGTAATTTTACATATAATTAAAAACAACAGTATTAAACTAAGCAAACTAATAACTCGAGCAAAAACTGTTGCGTATATTTTGTTAAATATTTCGTGTAGTTTATACATTCTACTTGTTTTAAGGGAGACGATTATAAGTGAACAAAAAATCTATTTACTTTGTCGTGAACTTCGGACGTCACTTTAATTGGCATAGTGATTGATACACTTACCCTAATACTGGTCGAAAATATGACTATGAAGCGGTTAAGCGAAATTCGAAGTATTTTGGTTGACACAGCCCACTGCAATTAGTTTCTAATAATTTATAACTTGTTTGCACCGAAAACTTTAAACGCATTTATCTGGAAATCATGTTTACGGTGTCTGCGTACACGACAGAAAAAAAAAACTATTTGACCGATCGACCTCCACGGTCGATTTTTAGTTAGCTTAATATTTAAGCGCCGTCGACGAATTAAAAACATTCATAAAAATATTAAGTTGTATCGGTTTCTCCGTATAAATAAGTTGATTGAATACCGTGATTTTATACCACATTTTCCGTAATTTTGTTGGTTCAGCGTCGACAGAATTTCATGCAGAATCAGAAAAATTCTCGTTTTTCTGATTCAGAGAACAATTGAATCCGCTGGTTCGTACGCGAAATAACAGTTCCAGCAGCGCGGCGCTTTGAAGATGGACAATTATAACAACGTTAGGAGATCTTATTGTTAATAAAAAAATTTCTTTGCACTGTTCAAACGTTCGATAACGTCTCCTGAAAATGTTGTAAAAGTTCAGTTTACAGTCGTCGAGAAAAGAATCCTTGAAATTCACTCAGATTTCGGCGTCCTGAACCAGGTTCCTCCCTTAAGGACGCGCGCGCGCGCGCGCCACATATACAATGCCAGTACGCCAACACGCAGACCGGATGGACGACGCCCGGGTTAACGGGGCAACGCTAACTATGACACCGAAAATCGGAAAGGAACGGGCACATCGTTCGAGAAGGGGTGAACCTGGAGTTTTGAGTACTGGAGCGGACTGGCTGGGTCACGGGTGACCCAATTCGAAGTTTTGTTCAGGAAGCGGAGAACTTGTGTTTCGGCGTAGGAGTGCACAGTAGCGAATCGATTCGTTTGCTGTGCAAATCGCTTTCGGAAAAGAAAGATAAAAATTCTATTTTATTCATGTTTCTCGTAGTTGATTGTGCATTTTTTGGACGTGTCTTTTTATTCAGAAAAGTGAATTAACATTTTAATGGAGAAGTTGAAAAATGTGCGAGTTACTGTAATCATACTGTATGTGTTCGACTTTCTTCGTATTTTGTTTAAATACGACAATTCTATGTAGTTTTTATAATTGTATATACTACATAATATATTTCGTATAAAAAATATATACTATATACTATATTTCGTATAAAAAATATATACTATGTAATATATTTCGTATAAAAAATATATACTATGTAATATATTTCGTATAAAAAATATATACTATGTAATATATTTCGTATAAAATATAGACTATACTTCGTATAAAAAATATATACTACATAATATATTTCGTATAACAAATATATACTATATACTATATTTCGTATAAAAAATATATACTATGTAATATATTTCGTATAAAAAATATATACTATGTAATATATTTCGTATAAAATATAGACTATACTTCGTATAAAAAATATATACTACATAATATATTTCGTATAACAAATATATACTATATACTATATTTCGTATAAAAAATATATACTATGTAATATATTTCGTATAAAAAATATATACTATGTAATATATTTCGTATAAAATATAGACTATACTTCGTATAAAAAATATATACTACATAATATATTTCGTATAACAAATATATACTATATACTATATTTCGTATAAAAAATATATACTATGTAATATATTTCGTATAAAATATAGACTATACTTCGTATAAAAAATATATACTACATAATATATTTCGTATAACAAATATATACTATATAATATATTTCGTATAAAATATATGATTTAATAAAAAATATCAAAGTGTATACCCTGCTTAACCAGTTTGTCTTCGACGCTGTTTTGGACGAGTATACTCGTCATGAATAAACGTCAACGTTTTGTGTTATGACGAGTATACTCGTCAAGGTAAATACATAAAAATCTAAAAAAAAAATGTCTGTTACATCAGAATCAAAAATTTGGATTTACATTGACGCGTGTGATAAAAGCTGATGAAATCAAAAGATAGAATTTACCCTGACGCGTGATGAAAATGAACGAAATCAAAAGGCCAAATTACACCGACGACGACGCGTTCAGTAAAAGTTAAAAATCGCGAAATGCAACGTCCTCGATTGCACGGGAGAAAGCACGGAACAAGATACTTTCGCCGCATTGTCAGTGAAAATGAAATTCGATTAAAAACTATGATAAATTAGTACGCGAGTTCGAAGTTACGTCGAACATGAATACACTACTACAACGTGATAGTATCAACCAAATAGGATCAGAAATAGTAGGCAAACTAATAAAACGGACGTCGAAATTAGTCCAAGAAGTAATTAAAATACGCGGTGGATATATCGAGGAAAAGAAAATTTAATTTTCTTTTATAAGATTTTCTGTTTATTTTTATTGTAATGTACAAAATGTACAGATATATGTACTTGTTACAATTTCGTACAATTAACTGTAAAATTAATTGAACAGATTATAACAATTTCCTATCGGTTTCCCAAATTTATTTAATTTCCTGTGAGTGTCCTAATACTCCTGGAGGGGGGTGTACTTCTTTAAATATAGTATATGGAACATAAATACTACTACAACGTGTGTACAACCAAATAGGATCAAAAATAGTGACCAGACTGATAAAACGGACGTCGAAATTAGTCCAAGAAGTAATTAAAAAACGCGGTGGATATATCGAGGAAAAGAAAATTTAATTTTCTTTTATAAGATTCTGCTTTTATTTTTATTTCAATGTACAAAATATATAAATATATCTACTTGTTACGATTTCGTACAATTAACTGTGTAATTAATTGAAGAGACTATAACAATTTCCTATCGGTTTTCCAAATTTATTTAATTTCCTGTGAGTGTCCTAATACTCCTGGAGGGGAGTCTATTTCTTGCATTTAAGTATACAGTAATGGACGCTCGGATTATGCACAAAAATTTACAATTTGGGAAGAGAAAATACGATTATTCGAGCCTCGAGGCTCGTCTTTATAGTTGTTGACAATCGGTAACTATAAATAGCGATTTAATGTCGCCTACACTTCACTTTTTAGGACACGTCGGATACGACCCGTCCCGCGATAATGTCGCAGGCTTTGAAAAATTCATATTCCCGATCAGTTTCGACGGATCAGTGTTATATCCAAGTTCGTAAGGGTGGGTATCTCCGAGGAAGGGTGTGTAGAGCGCGAGCTGTGCGGAAGGAACGCAAGGGCGGGCAAGTTTCGGGGTTTTGCGCGTCTGTTGTCATAGAAACGGGTGTGCCTGGCCCGTCGAGCAACTCGGCAACCATCCCCGAGCTCCATCGCTATGCCACGTGGACGTCGGAACGGGGAATCCTCTCGTACACCAGCGCAGAATCCCCTAGTATCGACACTCCGCCAAGGACCCGCAGTTGATCTAATCCTAGGGAACCTAAGGAGATCCGAAAATCATCTAGGAAACATTCAGGAGAAGTCTAGGAACGTTTTAGAAAAGGCTATGGGAATTCTAGGAACATATGGAGAAGTTAAGAAAATGGTGCTGGAGAGAAAAGAAAAAAGAGTGGAATTCCTGGGTATAATTATAGAGTTCAAGTAACTTTTATATTTTTTGTGATATTTGAACAGGAAGTTAACAAAATATCACGTTTGTCTATTTCTGTATATTAGAAGTAATATCATATTTGATTATCTCTATGATTTATTATTATTAATATAGAAATATAGAAATATGATATTTTGTTAAGTT